CAAAAGAAAAAAAAAGGTCAAGAAGGGAGAGGGTTGACATGTTGTGGGTTGTTAACCAACGTCATAAGACAATATGTGTACTACTGTTTCATGAGAAATTATTTGTTTTGTAAGCCTGCACCTGAAGTACAATTAAAAAAAAAACCTTTCTCCAACCTTTAAGACAAAGAATAAAGGTAATTTTCGGTGTCTATCATGCTACATTAATAAGTATTAAGCTGCAGCATTAAGTAATTTGAAGGGATACTGTCACATATATAGTATCTAAATTTTCTATGGGTTGTCTATTTTTATTTATTTTAAATTTAATTAGCTTATTTAATGATCTTTTAATGTTTATTTTATCTTTTAAGTCTGTAACTTGTCTTATTAAAAAAAAAAAATTCATTTGGCTTCCTAAAAGGTTTACTATTAGTAATTACTATTGTAATTCTACACATAATATACTATGGTAGATAATCATTTACATTTACTTTCAATCCTTTCCAAAAATAAAATACCCAGATGCTAATGAAAATTAACTAGAAAAAAATTTAAAAAATGAATCTAAGAATATTAAAGTCTTGGATGACCTTTAAAGTGAATACTAGAGGTGAGTCAACTTCCAATACATAACCAACTTTTAAACAATGACTTTTAATTCTAAGGTAAGAGTGTGCAAAAAAGGATTGATGGAAGTTAAACAAATTAACACCTGCTGACATGAATATGAAAAATGGTATTTTTTCAGAAGGTTAACTAGAGATAATCAATTATTTGTAAATTCATTAAAAAAAATTCAAGACAGTTTTCTCTTTTGGATTATCATACAAAAATACTTACAGTTTGATAATATGAGGATGACGAAAGAGTTTTAGATTTTGAATTTCTCGTTTTATTTTTCCAACAACATCTAAACTGCGAATCTTCTGTCTATTTAAGATTTTAACTGCTACTTTATGGCCTGTCAGTTGATGTTCTCCAACTAAAGGAAAGAAAAAGGAAAAAATTTGCTGTAGTCATAGCAATGTAATCATTTATTCATGCTTCCTCCCACTGCATCCCCGAACTTTTTTACTCATATATACTGCTTTTGTATCACTTATTGCACAGAACTGAAGTTATTTCTTCTCACTTTTGTCTCTTCTACTAGAGTATGCATTCCTTGAGGAGAGAAACTATATCTTAGTCATCTCTGAATCCTCCCTAGCACAGAGAGGTTCATTAAATATTTGTAGAAAGGATTACTGAATTCTACATTCCTACATAAAAATGTAATCAAATTTGGAATATCTTTCAGACAGAACAGAATTTACTGTTTTTTCCTCTTTCTCTTCTTCTGTTTAACGCCAGTCATTGCATTACAGAAGCATAAATGATTGCTGTAATAAATTAAAAACTCATAACTACTTTCATTACTATTTCATCAGAAAATCCACATGTAGCCCCCTCACCCTTTTTTTTTTTTTTTTTTTGCCTTTTCCATAAAGGCTTCCTATTTCTCCGTTTGATGGAATTTCTCTTTCAAACCCTTATAGTATATTTATAAAACATGTCATCTACCATTTTTGTCTATTATAAACAACTGTGTATGTGACAAATCACAGGACATGAGCTATTAGCTCATACCCTCCTTGAATAAGACAGTCAGTACTCATCTGAATCTCCCAGAAAGCATGCAGCACAGTGAAGCACGTAGCTTTGTACATAAAACCAAAAACCAAACCCATTGCTGCCGACTCATTTCTGATTCATAGCGACCCTATAGGACAGAGTTGAACTGCCCCACAGGGTTTCCAAGGAGCAGCTGGTGGATTTGAACTGACGACCTTTTGGTGAGTAGCCAAACACTCAACCACTGCACCATGAGGGCTCCACACAGTAGATAATAAATAAACGTTGCATTACATGAAACAACAGTCCTTCCCCTTTCCTATGACACATTCATGGTATCCATACTAACAGCGATATCCTTAAATACTGTGCTATAGTACAGATTTAAAAAATCCCTATTCAGGGAATGTGATGGTTAATGTTATGTGTCAGCTTGGCTAGGCTTTGATTTCTCAATGGTTTGACAAACACTGGAATGACTGCACTTCCATAATACAATGTAATCACCTCCATGATGTGATCTGATGTGATCATTCAATCAGTTGAAAGGGGAGTTTCCTTTGGGATGTGGCCTGCCTCCAGTATATAAATGGATGTTCCAGCAAGACTCTCTCTCTTTCCCTTTCTTTCTCTCTCTCTCAAACCTGCATTCTTCCTGTCACATGACCTCCAGTTCACGGAATGAAAGCCTGCAGAACTCTTCAGGCTGCCACCTCACTTGAAGATTTTGGGTCGTCAGCCCCTGCAACCACATGAGTCAGCAGAGAAATCTGCAGCCTGCCGCCTTACCCACAGATTTGGTACTTGACAGCACCTACAATTGTGTGAGCCATTTCCCTGAAGTAAATCTCTTTCTCTATATTTATACGCTTCCCTGGTTTTGCTCCTCTAGAGAACCAAGACTAAGACAGGAAGGAAACTGGTCAGCCACTCTCCTATTTCCCTCAATTATTATTCTAAAACGTCACCATTCTCCTAAAAATACCTATTTAACCCTTGATTCCTTTCGACAGACAAACTCACCTTGTATTTTACTGGGGAAAATGAAGTCATTAGGACTGACTTCCCATAACTTCTTGGACATTTATCTTAAAGACTTATATCCACATTCCTTTTTCCTCCAGTTTCAGAGATGTTGTGGCCCTCCTCCCATTCAAGGCCTGTCTTATCAATTTGTACCCTTGAGCCCATCTACACTCTCCTTCTAGTCAAACTTTGTTTTTTCTAATAGCTCCTTCTCTACAATTTATAAACATGTTCAACCCTCTCCCATCTCCCCTCCCCAAAAAACCCGTACCTTTCTCTAGTTTCCAACATTCGCCTCATCAAAATTTCTTAAAGAATAATCTGTATGTATTGTCCTCCACCCTTATCACTATCCCTAAACGCAACTGTGATTTAGTATCTGCCTTCACTGCTCTATTGAAACTGAAGAACCACCAGAGACCCATTAATTATCAAGCCATGTATATTTTTCAATTCTCAGCTTGCTGTAATCTCTGCTACACTGAACACCATTGATCACTCCCTCTTTTTGGTGTCACTGCTCTCTCCTGGTTCTCCTACTAACTCTCAGGTAGTCTTTATTGTGACTTCCTGGCCCTCCACCTGGAGCCCTGGTGGCACAGTGGTTAAGAGCTCGGCTGCTAACCAAGAGGTCAGCAGTTTGAATACACTAGCTGCTCCTTGGAAACCCTGTGGGGCAGTTCTACTCTGTCCTACAGGTTTGCTATGAGTAGGGATAGACTCAACAGCAACAGGTTTGGTTTTGGTTGGTTTTTTAGTCCTCCACCTGCTCTTTAAAAGTTAGTATCTCCAGGTTTCAAATCTAGGCCCAAGATATCCTTTAGAGAGATCATTACACTAATTCACCTCATATAGTTTTAATTATCATCCATATGCCAATGACTCTATCCCCTCCTCAAATTTATTATCTCAAGATTAATATTCCATAAACACCTCAAATTCAACATGTTCCAAACTAAACTCATTCTCCTCTTTCTCCACCAAACTATGTCTCTATTTCATTTGGGGGCACACAGCCTATATGCTAGAAACCAAGGAATCAGCTGATATTACCTTCTAAACATTTCTTAGAGTCAGGTTTCAACTCATTGTAACAAACAATAACAATGATAAAAATGACAATTATTGACATTTATTAAGTGTTTACTTAATAAGCATTATTCTAAGTGTGCTGCTCTGCTGATTTAACTCTATAACATTAAACATTTAGTATTATGAAGTATTATTATCCTTCCTTGTACAAAGACACCTGAGGCACACAGAAGTTAAATAACCAGTTCAAGGTCACATAGTAAGCAGTGGTACAACATGTGACCCCAAGCAGTCTTTGTCAGAGTCAGCATGTTTAATCACAACATAATAATGCCTACCAGTGAGAGCAATCCAAACATAAGTTGGACTGACTTATGAGGAACTGAGTTCCCTGTTATGGAGATTATTTTTACCTTAGTAACTTTCTCAAGCAGTAAAGTATCATCTCAAAAACTTCAGAGAAGCTTGAAAGTTACTTTCCAGCATTTAAAATAAACAAATTGGGAAAAATCAGATTCAAGCAACAAAACTTACAAACATTCCAAAACATATGCTTCCAGGACTCCAAAAAAACATTATTGATTTCAGGAACTTTCTACTCAATGGTTTTTTGATGGCTGGATAGTTTATTAGCAAGTATGACTCTCTCCTAATATACCTGATAGCCTCAATGAATGCTACCAGCACTACAATACCCTTGGCAATACAAGAGGGACAAAAAAAAAAAAAAAACCAAACCTACTGCCATTGAGTCGATTCCAACTCACAGCGACCCTACAGGACAGAGTAGAACCGCCCCATAGAGTTTCCAAGGAGCGCCTGGTGGATTCGAACAGCCAAACTTTCAGTTAACAGCCATAGCTCTTAACCACTATGCCATCAGGGTTTCCATATATATACAACAGGAAAGAAGAGTTTAATTCCTCCATTTCCATATGATAATTAAAATTACTATATACTGAGAACATACATGGTCTTTCCAGATCAAAGAATAAAGTCCAAGGACTCTAACAGCCAAGCAGATGAAGTTTGATTTTTTAATGCCACAACCAAAAAGTGAGTGGATTCAGTCATAAAATAACACAATGATAACGAAGTACTGTGTCTATATCTGAGGAAATACGTGACTCATTTATCTTTATGCATGAAGAATTTTTTCCCCACGAAACTATGACAAATAAATTATCCCTTGAGGCAGTTAAGCACACTGATAAACTATTTGGATATCTGAGGTCAAAAAGAGTCAAATGTATTAATAATTCTTTTTTTTTTTTTTTTAATGAACTATGCTAGCCTCTGGAGCACCAGTGGCACAGTGGATAAACTTAAGGCTGCTAACCAACAGCTCGGCAGTTCGAATCCACCAGCTGCTCCTTGGAAACCCTATGGGGGCAGTTCTACTCTGTCCTATAGGGTTGCTATGAGCCAGAATTGATTCAACAGCAATGGGTTTTGGTTTTTGGTTATGCTAGCCTCTATTACCTAGTAACTCCTTAAGGGAATTAGAATTTCTTCTTGTTGTTGTTGTTAGGTGCCATCACGTTGATTTTTGACTCACAGTGACCCTATGTGACAGAGCAGAAGTGCTCCATAGGACTTTCTAGGCCCCATAGGACTTTTCTTACAGGAGGTCTTTCTCCTGTGGAGCTTCTGGGTGGGTTCGAACCGTCAATCCTTCGGTTAGCAGTCACGATGTTAACCATTGTGGCACCAGGGCTCCTTAGCCACAATTAAATTTAAACAGTTGTCTCACAGTCACATTCCACCTGAAAGCCAAATATTTTCAGAATTCTTATAATAAAACCAGATTTAAGACCAAGAACTCCTTCTGTGTATATTACAGACAAACTTTTCTAAGTTAGTAATTGAAAGAAAAGGCCTGGACTCGTCAAAGTTTTATTGCCAGTCATTTATTCCATCTAGAAACATTAACTGAGTACACTTTACATCCAGGACTAGTGCTGATCAAAGACACATGCAAAGAGCTTTTTAATAGGCCTCCAAGTATTGGGGGGATGAGGAGGGGGAGGAACAACAGCAATAAAGAGCTGAAACAAATTCTGCATGGTATCATATCTGTCTGAAGACTGTTGGGGATACCTTATTTGTAAAGGGAGAACATGGATGAGAAATAAAAATTATTATAAAAACATTAAGGATAAACAAACTTGCCATAATTTACCACTTACATAAATAAATAAACAGATCAATACCTATTTTGACAGTAGTAATAAGGGACATTCATTTTACTAAATAACTATTTAATAAATGTCTACTATGGTAAGCACTATGCTGGGCACTTGGAGTTTAAGT